CGTTGAAATGAATGTTCCACCGAATAACCTCCCCAGGCACAAGAATCCTGTGAAGTTGTTTTTGCTGTGCTGTTAGAGAACCACTGTTGAACAAAGGAGGACCGGACAAAAAAGTGGTCTTTCCACAAAAATAAATAGAACTTATTTATGAGATCTTAGAATAATCAATTGATCGAGTGATGAATTAAGTAAACTTACCGAAACTGATATTCGATTCCATATGTGATTTTCTTGGAAGCGGTCGATCAAACGGTGACGGCTCCGGATTCCCACGCCTCGGAAGATGTCCATTTGATGATGCACCTGCTACGTCGCCTCGGTCGACTTTCTCAGCACTACTGATCTGCAAAATTGCTGCCTATTGAAGCAAGGAGGTGATAAACGAATATCAAACCTGTACAAGTTCATACCTTGTCTCTTTGCTGGACGACACTGAACAAGTATGGGCTACTAGGCGACAACTGTACAAAACCACCTTTGACATCTTGGATTTTGCCATCTTTCCATGCCACACGGCCACCCACTATTGTTACTGATGCCTGTAACAAACAAAAATCAATGAAAGCATCCCTCAGTAGGCATGTCTGAGGCCGCATGCAAACCACACGCGCTTTTACGCTCCGCACAATCCATACGCGGACCAGCCATAAACGCCATTTCATTCTCAACTTTATGAACCTCGACGCTATGACACATCAATCTGACGCGCGTGGCTCAACCTATAACGCGACAAAAGATGGCGCGATCGGCCAAATGACATCCCAGCAGGCGCCCTTCCTATTTCATCACCACTCAGATAAATCGGCCTCTGTGTGGATCTCAGACACCGCTGTGCTGCTGACCTCTAATTTCAAACGAGATATTCAAAGAGGAAAAACTTCAATTTCATCAGTTCAGCTTACTGCGCATGCACAGTCATTCCTTCATAGATACTTGAATCAACGGAAGATTGCCGTTCTGCAGCCGACACATTTCCATCGGCCAGATGCATCCCACAGCACAAGATCAGCATCTGCACCGACAGCAATACGCCCCTGAAAGTAGGTACTTGGTTTTTTTAAAACATGAGTTCTACTCAACAATCTTTTCCTTTCAAAGAAATGCTGCAGTAAAAAATGAGATCTATTTGAAACAACTTTTTCGGGTACCAAGTTGAAACTTTATTCGCAGCATCTCGTTGAATTACGGCTAAGAAAAGATCGATTTATTCGTTCCGTGCGCACTGCCTTTTCCTATAACGCCATCTTTCTGTCAACGCTCTACTTTTCTAAAAGTTTGGCTAAAAGTATTAAGAAGAAAACGCGCAGCAATTTATTTTTCCACTTGGACCATTTCAGTTTAGCGCAGACTCTTAAACAGCGTTTGAATTATTGGATCAGGAAGACTATTCACAGACGCTGCGCTTCTAAACTACCTTTCTCAGAAGAACATTGAGCTCCCTGCTGCTCAGAAATACACAAACCAGCTACATGAAACCGTAACAATCACTGCAGGCCGAGCTGTTGCCCCCTCCTCCCAGATTTGTCGATAAAATTCACCTTAACACTACTACTTAATCAACTTAGGGAAGAGATAACAATGAAACAAGGCACCATGACTAATGAAGCTTTTCGTGTTTCCCTCAGATACTACTATGTGCTTGGTGCATGAGTGCATGAAAGCCAATACCGCGTGAAATACATCTCCTTCAACACAATCCCCCCGCCCCACCCAAAAATAAGGTTAGTAACAAATAACATAACAGGATACTGAGAGACACACTTAATAAATGCACTAAACCTACTCGAAAAACGGTCAACTTACCCTTGGCATAGCTGTGAAATCCTTCGCACACAAACGACTATCCGTTGAAATAGCACGATGACCCGAAGTACAGACCGCGAGAGGCTGGCTGAAAAGTGGTCACATGGAAGTGGTTTTCTAAACTTCCTCACATACTCTGCTCCCCAAACCAGATGCTCGTCGAGTGCAGACCACACACCACAAGTGACGACGGCCTCCAAGTAAATCTGGTAACTAGTGGTTCATAGTGATAGCTGATAGTTGGTAAATGATAGTTGTAATTAGTGACAACTGATAGAATACAACTGCAACCGGCTAATCATTTCATTGGCAGAAAACACCTTAAATTTTGTCATTTCATTTTATTTTGTGGAGGCTGACGCCACTTGTGGTGTGTAGTCTTCACTCGACACGCATCTGGTTCTCGTAAGCAGAGGGCACAAATCAAAATACCTACCTTGCCAACGCAGAAATCAATTTGCTCGAGCCTTCTGTTCTCAGTGGAACCTCGGTCATATGCGTGGATGCATGCTTTAGGCACTTGTTGAAATAGTGACTTCCATCAGCCACCACTGCAGCACTCGCAATCTCGGCATGAGCTAAAGCTCCTGAACATCGTGCCCGTTCCAAAGCAGCTAACGATTCAGCTGAAGAAACCTGAAACGTACATTCGCTGTGGTCAGCTCGTTAGAAGGATCCATTCGTACTAGTCGACATATGTACTTGTCAAGCTGGTTACGCATGCCACAAAACAAATGTTCCATAGCAGATATGTGAGCAAGCTGAGATTCGCAAAAAGTTCCCATAATCGCATCACGGCCGCACACAAAAGCCTCAGAAAAACAAACCGCCGAAATATACGATTATTCGCAGTGTGGCGAAGCGCTTGATTGGAAAACGATTGTTTGCAAACGCGACGTTTTTCAACCGGTTCAAATCCGGACAATAAATTCGTTGTAATGATACCATGAAAACACGCTCAAAGAGAAAACCGGCCAAAAACAGCTCAAATCTTGTTTGCGGTTGCAATTTGCACCCCAATTCGTACAGCGCAATATTCAAATGTATTCGCAAGTCCGAATGTAGCAAAGCATGGCTAGCTTTTTACTAGGTTTATTTAATTTTCCACTTCTAAAGCCACTCGCTGTGGAAGCGTACTCTGAGTCTTCTCTATAATTCGAGTATTCATGAGAATAGAAAGTGTAAATGACCTGGGCAAGATTCGGATCGGAAAGACAGATTGGTCAAGCAGAACTGTTTGGCACTGCACAACTTCCCACCAGGGTCAACCATGCGTTGCTCAGTTCTTAACGGGAGTCGAACTCGAGCTTTTCAAAGGGGAGAGTAGGCGTATTTGAGGTTGGCGGGCATCAAGAGGTTGAAATAGGGGTCGCATTTAGAAGTTGAAGGGGGCGTGGTGATATGAGAGGGGTTCGTATTTGACGGACTCCAAAGATTTCTGAGGAAACTTCACGAAAGGAGCCTGAAATAGGCAAAATAATGATTTGTGCCTTCGTCAGGCACATTCCACCTCCTCCCTCGCTCAAAGGCCGTTTTGAGTTAAAAGTGGACAGAGTTGTGCTGTGTCGACTGGTCTCGCAGTCAGTTCCTACAGAAGCAGCCACTATGGGAGGGGAAAGTAGGTATGCTGAGAGGTCGTACTAAGATCGTCTAAAAAGGGGGCATGTTGGCGAGATGTCATGTCTGCTGCCATGGATGCGGTCTCGGGGTAACCGATTCGACACGCGATAACCTCTCTATCCTATGTCAAAAGGCTATCCAGTTACCAAAATA